CTAACTAATAATGTCTTAAAGTAACTACAAGAAAAAGGTTACAACCAAAAATAGATTTACTTTTTACTGACCTGTAGCATGTCCTTTGTTAAAACGATTCATTCGAACGCTAGTTTTATTTTTTACCAAAACTACGATCTTAAAAAAAGTTTATTATAAAAAACTTTGGCAGAACAACACGAAAGCCTTTGCCCAAGTATAAAAAACAAAGCTGTCAATTTTCGGCGCGAAATGAAAAATTACGTACAAAGTACAACGAACGGCTTGTTAATTAGAATAATTAATTGTTATTAGACGCTTTATTAAAATGGCCACGAACGTGAGTTTGCCCTCAATTCTTTTTGTTTTCCGACAAAAATCTTGTTGGCATGTAAAGAGTGTAGGGTGACCATGTTGAGTTTGAACATGAGATTTTTTTTAGGATATGCATTCATAATTTTATTTTTTAGTTTTAAATACGATTCGTTCGTGTGAAATAAAAAAAATAGTAAGAAATATAGGCTATGTCACCCGGGGTATAATATATAGTATTGCTACCCAACAGTGAACGATTTTTTCAAATCGGTTCAGTTTCGGCGCCTATTCAATGCAATCAAATATTTTCTCTTTAAATATTAATATGACTAAATAAAGAAAAGGATAAATAATGATTATTATATTGTTACAAAGGAGCGTCGGTGGCTCAGTGGTCAAGCACTTGACTTGCAATCTGCAGGTCCAGGTTTCGAATTCCGCCATGTACCAATGTGTTTTCGATTTCCGATTTACATATGTACATTTATCCGACGTTCTTACGGTGAAGGAAAACATCGTGATGCAACCTGCACATATCTGAGAAGTAATTCAAAGATATGTGTGAAGTCAAAAACCTGCACTTGGCCAGCGTGGTTGACTATGGCCTAATCATCCTTAACTTAGGGTAGGCTCCGAGCCCTTTGGTGGGGACGTATAGTGCGATGATGATGATATTGTTACATTGTATTTGGTTGTACAAATTTAGATAAAAATCTTTTTTTTTTCTAAGTATTAAAGCAACTAAGTTAATTTTTCTGTTACGATATTATTATTGATATAGAATACTTGTCGAAATAAAAAATTTAATCGATACGAAGTTGATGTTACACGACTTTTCAATATGAAACTATGTCCGCAAAAAACCAAACAGATGTTGACCCTCAGTTTGTTATAGTTCAGTTTTTGCCTTGACAAACTATTTTACATCGTTCAAGGACAGTTAACAGTGGAAAAAATTTAAGAATTTTTTCTTTATTAATGTAACTTCGTAGCATCTTTTTACTTAGTCAATTCTATCTTGTAACAAACAATCCTATTAATTAAAAAAAATGTTACATATTAAATTTATAACTGCCAAGTTCGAGTAGTATTAACTTCTCATAGTAAATCTACACTTAGTGATTCCTTTAATGAACGTTAAACTTCTCTGAGAACAGCAGCAAGTGAACTAACCTGATAGATCGGGTAACATGGAGAGATGTATGTCCCTGCTCTGCGTGGTGCGCGCAAACGTCGACTGACGGCGTTCATTCTGTGATCTGCCGCGCTTCACTGTAGTCGCTTTAAAAGAAATAAATACTTTAGGAATATGATCAAAGAATCAAATTGTTATCGCACTTACGATTGTATTGTACAAAAACCCCAACAAAACGTATTAAAAATCATAAGAAACGAGTATGTATTATGCTATGACATGTTCTTGACCTTTGCATCGTGAGAGTGAAATAGGAATTACACGACCTTAACTGTAAATAAGTAAATTGATTTATAGTATTAAATGTCCCAGAAAATTTTCTATCTATAATAATTTGATAGATTGAAATGGACTTAAAATTGTCGATTGATTTCTTAAAACTTAGGGCAGTCATCCCTAACTTAGGGTAGACTATGAGTCACTCAGCTGGCACGTATAGTGGGCTGATGATGATTTTGATACCAGTACACAATATTAGAATGTCAAATATCACTAATTTGTACTTACTATTCCTTGCCTGCTTGGAAGGCAGTAGCGTTGCGAGCTTTGCTGCATCAGCTCTCTGAAGATTCTCAAACAGTTCCTGTTCACCTCCAGGATACAGTTCCTGGAAATATTAGGAAACAAGTGTCCAACTAAGTAAACTGACATAAGTCATATTAACATGAAACAAATAATAGGTTTTTTAAAACCAACAAGTCAAATTTTATGTGAATCTATGGCACAGCGAGGAAGAATACGAAACGTAAGACATAAGAACAACAGTAACCGAGGGTTTCTGACCAAAATCTCCGTTTAAAACGTACTGATATCTCTGTTTTGTCAAAATCAATGACAAGGATAACGATATGTTTTATACAGAGGTTTTTGTGATCAGAAACCCACGGTCAGTCGAATTTCTTAGCTCTGTTACAATTGTATACGTTATTTATTATGTTAACCGTGAATTTACACTGTTGAATCATCTTAAAAACATATGACTTTAACAAGTACGGCCATTTTAATTTTATGCAAATGTTTCGACAGTGGAAATCCACAGTAACGATTTATCGATGTGATACCTGATAGAATTCCCCTCCCGCTTCCTCCCAGCCCTCCTGCCTCTTGGAGGAGCGCGCCTTGTTCTTAGAAGCGTTGCCGCCCGACATGATTTACGTGTCTTGTCTCATCTGAGGTACAAAAAGCAATACTTAGATACTATGTTAATAAGATATAGAAAAGATTGATGAAGTTGTCGTGAAGTCCGTTATTATTAGTTATTTTTTGTGACTGAGTAGTCACTGTTTGCCTTCAAGAGATATTTACAGCTTCACCGGACTTGAGGTGGTCGGGCGCATACCGCATACATACCGTATTAGGAGTAGTTATTAAGACAACAGTTTGTACTATGACTATTTGATACAACTCATTAAGAAACTAGTTTAATATACATTTTTCCGTTAGAAATATATTACTAGAAATAGTTTTCACAAATACAAAGTAATACGAATACTCAAGAATTTCAATGTTCAACTTCAATTTATACGCTAACGGGCGTTTGAGCAACCTCATAGCATAGACTTTATCTAGGTTAGCAATCTAGAACGGATTTAGGTCGAGTATCAGCTGTCTTGTTAGATCACATATTGCTATGCTATTGGTAGTTCAAAGTTTCATTTTTTATTTGAAAATATTGAACTGTTTAAAAAATACAAAAAAAAACGTATCCATAATATTTTGGCTGTATGGACACCGTAGCTTTTGTCTTTTCATTTATTAAAAAAAAATTACCTTGAAAATTGTATGTAGCAATACGTTATTGTTGTCTTTTCATAGCAAGTAAAGAACACAAATCAATAATTTAATTGTCTATTAAATATTAAAAAAAAAACGACACTAATTTAAATTGTCACCTTTATGCTTAATTATTTTAAACACGGCTAACGTTTTTAAACTGCTAATGTATTACAGGTAAAAGTCCCAACAGCATTCAGCCAAACACAATCACTGACTTTATCTTTAAAAAAAAAATAAGCGTCACTAATCAAAAAGCGCGCGAATGCGACGTAAACATCCAACGAGTAATGAGTAATTATATTTTATTGATTTATTTCCTTGTTATCTGATAGGCGATAAGTGCTTTAATCTATATGATAGTTTTTCCCATTGTAATCAGCTTCTGGGAATAACCAACAAACAATTTTGTTAAAGAATTCAAACTTTATACATTTATGTTTCTAATAAAAAGTAAAAAATTATTACAAATCATTTCTATGGATAGGTTATTGCTTGGAAATAACACCTGTTGTTTCTGACATAATTGTTCCTGTTGATGTTCCCGAGAGTAAGAATTTCTATAAGTTCAAATCTTCACTAGTCAAAGTCAAATGGTGGAAATCAAATATGAACAAAATAATCTTATTTATAACCTATCCATATAGAGTTCAGTGCTTATGTATTAATAAAATGGTACTAATTAATGTTTGATTCCTATGAGTTCCTAAACATATGTTGTAAAGAGGCTAGTAAAGGTTTATAAACAAGAAAAACTTAATTATATTAAGCAGAAAGCAAATGTTTGAGTTATTATTTTGATTATTAATGCTTCTAACTTTGCAACACATGAGGCTGCAGATAGTATAATAAAAAAAAAGAATAAAAAATAACATACCATTTCTATGTTTTTAATCTACAATTTGTGGACTAGAAAATAGTTAATTATGAACAAATGTAGGATAGTTAATGAAGCCGTATAAAATGAGGGCAACAAATGAAATGAAAGCCACACATATGCAACTAGTTGTGTTCATTAGATTTTAATTTGGGACTAGCTGTCGACCCCGACTCCATCCGCGCTGAATTAAAAAATTATTGGTCGCAGTATTGTGTTATATATCCTAAAGCCTTCCTCTATAAATGGACTATACAACAAAAGAATTATTTTTCAAAGCGCACCAGTAGTTCCTGAGATTAGCGTGTTTAAACAAACAGACAAACTCTTCCGCTTAATAATATTAGTATAGATTGGATAAAGTAGATTGTTTTATTTGAATGACGCAATTTTCCTATTGTTTAGTTGGAACTAATCAAAAATTAAAATATAAAATTTTATTATTACAAAATATAAAAAGATCTTGCTATTATTATGAATATGCATATCCCAGATAGATGAATGTTAGAAGGTATGTCTAGAATGGCTGTATAGATTTTTCTGAAATTTGGCATAGATGTAAAACATAGTCGGGAAGAACTCATAGTCTACTAAGTCTTTATAATTCCGCGCAAACGGAGTTGCGGGCAACAGCTAGTATATTATATACATGAGTTTCTCGCCCATGAAGGTAATTTGTTGCTTATCCAGATTCAACTGTATTTATTGCTTAAAATTTTAATTAATATATGAAAATTCTCCTTCTCAAATCTACTATATCTTACTAATATTCTAGTCACCCATGTCATGAGGGTAGGCTCCTAGCCCCGCAGTGGAGAAGTATAGTAAGCTGATGATGATTATAAATGCAAGTTTGATAGGCGGATGGATGGATGTTTGTTAGAAGGTATCTCCGGAACAGTAGCATGGATTTGGCTGATATCTGTCACATATGTAGGGCATATTCTAGAAGAACACAAATGCAAATAAGTTTTTTTTAACTCTGAACGCAGTCACAGGCCACTGCTAATTCTAAGATAAGGATATTGAACAAATCATTTGAAGTAAATAATGTAATATAAATTTTGTTTTATGACCGAGGTGAATGTACAGATAACATACTATTATTATCCAAGAAACAATAATATATATGTTGACAATCATAAATATTGTTGATATTGCAATTTACATATTTTATACTAACTGTCGCCTGTGACTCTATCCATGCAGAATAGCCTAGATATATTTCCAGACTATGTTCTACATCTATGCAAAATTTTAGCGAGATGTATGCAGCAGTTCTGGAGATACCTTCTAACATACATCCATCTGTACATCCAAACATTTGCATATATAATCCATCGAGTTGACCTCCTCTCATTTCTATTCTTATAAGAAAAGTAGAATTAAGGGAAATATATATCATAAATATGGCCTGTTTCTTTCATAAATTTAAATTCCTAAAAAAAATAGAATTATAATTCTCCTAAGACCATTATAACTAAAATTAGTATATTTAATTTATTTTTATTACATTTTAATATTGGAATTCGGTTATTTTATACAAGGACATGTAATATATCATAGCGTACTTGAAAAAAGTATAAATTAATACAAAATAAGAAGGCAAAATATGAAAATAATGTTCATAGGTATTTCGTATAACTGTTTATCTTATTTATTAGAATAACTGCATTGCTTACCTTACGTATAATGTTGTTAAAACTATCACACACGCTGCATTGTTAGTCTCTTACACGTATGACACATAATTATGAATTACTCATTCATTATAACTAGAAATGAGAATAAATTTAATCAAACAGAATCTTCAGACCAAAATAAAATACGAGGAGTGGTGAAATACGTTCAGAAACATCACTGATGAACTGTCAAAAATGAATAGTTAATTTTAATTTTAACAGAATTGAATAAATGAAAATCGATTTTGACGTTTAATTAATTTGAAATGATAAATTAAAAATTATAACCATGAAAGAAATTAAAAACAGATTTTTTTATTTGTAATTAAAAATGGAGAATTTTTTATATAATTCTCGCTTTTGTTAATAAGACCTATGTGATGTGTTTAAACGTCACATAAGAGCTAATGTTACCATGGATTTTAAGAGACATTTCTATAAAAACACACTGTTTGATCACTGGGGGAAGCTATAATAAAATCGATATTACAAACAAGCATTTTATAAAAATATGAATCCTTATATTAAAAGGGCGGTTTATTTCACAATTACAGATAAAATTGCCCAGGCAACAAGACAGGAACGATATCTGATCGATGCTCAATCTAATTTCCGCAGATCATCGGCGAAAAAGTCGCGACCACCCAACGTTCACGTAAACAAATCTCTGAGGAAATTCCCTAGATGTAATTTCCGGTGCGGATTACTATTGGCCCTCTCCCGCACTGATCCTATTTAGAGCCAATTGGAAAATGGATTTTGTAAAACACACCAATGAATCACGAATGACGTGAACAATAATCCTAATCAAACCAATGGCGCGTCCGGAGTTTGACGCAATTACATCGTGCGCGAAAAACCCGGGAACGAGCTAAAGGCGGGCTAACACCTGCGCAGCATCCCCTCGGACGCCGAACCAAGATCACATCTCGCGAAAAGTAATGATTATTTCTGTCCACAAGCGTAGTTCCGCATATTCCCGCCGCGGCGCTGCGAGCTGCACGAGTGGGACGTCGGTGTACGAACCTCGATATAGGGGCTAGTTAAAACGTAATTTTAGTGGTGGAAATTGAAAAATTGCGGATGTATAGCTCCGCAAGTGTCTTTATTGAACGCTAATCGTCACTCGGTGATATTTGAGTGTGAGTTGAGTCCGCTCGCGGTCTCATTCCATGTATCTACGTCGTGCCCGATGTACCACGGCGATCCTCCATTACCGATCTAATTTTTTGGGGATGTAGTCACTATACTTAAATCTACCTGTGAATAGACAATTATATTGATAATAAAGTGCCAAATAAAGACGCAATAATGTGTAGATATTTACTGTTGTGATAAAATGTGCGAGAGTATTGTGCGTCGTTTATCGACCGATGCCATATCTCCAGGACTGGCGGACTTCCAAGGCGGCGTATCATTGCATTCTCTGAGGTCACGACGCTCCAGTAAATCACAATAGAAACTAATCACATCTAACATCTACCGTCTTTTGTTATGAATCGATTACGCGACACATTCGTTCGCGTAATGGATCACAGATGCCGAATACAAGCCGCTGGATGCGGTTATTTGAACAACTGAATAACCGCATCGGACTAATGGCGAATAGTACGGTTATTATCGCTCTCGTACTGATCGCGATAGTCAGTTGCGAGCATGCCGTGGATAAGGAGAAAGCCCTGGCGGCGGAAAAGGAGAGATCACGGTCCGCGAATCCGGGGAGAGAACGCGGTTCATTCCAGAAACTATCAAACCTAATGAACCGCACGGAAAACCATCGAGAAGGTAGACGAAGAGGCAAAAACAATTTAAATAAAATTCTACAGATAAATCGCGAGCATAGAGCGCAGAATGATGATATGTTGAACGACAATGAAGGTGCTATCGCGACTAAACAAAAAATGATGCCGGATAATACAACAGACACGCTGGCAGACAAAATGAAGGCATTACGTGGTGATGGTTTGACGTATGAAGCGGTGTCTAAGTATAACTACGTGCCTCTAGTCACCGGTGTGTTTTGTAACTTTGAACCGAACAATAATTCACATGTTGACATGTGTATGTGGCAGTGGAACTCGACTGTATCAAGCCACGGTTTAGGATTCAAAGTGGTGACTGCGGCGGAGCTTCAACTCATGAACGAAACGACTCGGGGACTAAAGTTCTCTGGACCTAATAAGGATGCTGATGGAAATGTTACAGGTTTGGTTTTATTTTTTAAAGAGATAAATTACCGTAGAAGTAGCTACTTAAGATTTTTTTAATCTGAGCTAACAACGGGCAAAAGTTGTAATTTACGGTAACATACAATATTATTCTGATTTATTTAATCGTAAAGTTGGCTACACATCTTAAGACTGAAGCATCTTTTTACGTATCCTCTCCTCTCCTCCGTCGACAAAAGGTATCCAACGCATATGCAATTGTGTGTGTCTACGGGCAACAGTCACATCGCTATGTCAGCGATTTCAGATGGTCGTTCGCTCGTTTGCCACCTTATGATATAAAAAAAAGTAAACATCGAACGACTATAAGTTCGACGGGTAATAAAACATTTTGAGGTCATCTTATATTAATTTAAGTAAATGTCAAATACTAAGGAAAAGCAAACACTTATTTTAATATTGAAATGTGTCGCAATGTTTTTCGTTTACACAACAAACTGAAAATCATTCAACCTTTAAATGTCAAAGGTTTAATTTGAAACTATAAGATGAGGGCGCCACCGTGCGCAACAGATAACTTATTAGATTGTTGCTTTTTAAAAAATAAAATAAAATTATGACTGCCAGGTACAACGGAATACAGCGATTAGGAAATAATAATTTAAGTCCAATTTAGATTAGGACTGTCTCACAAAAAGTACGTAAAATAAGACACTATAACCGCGTGTTTCCTTAGCCAAAAACATATTCAGAAAAATATAGTTGTTTCCTTGTTTCTGTACATGTGTTGCGGTAGTGAAAATCTCTTTTATTTCAAAAGAAATGTCCTCACAGATGTAACTATTTTGAAGTTATTTAAAGTAGTATTATAAAATGGAAAGATTTCTTTGCTTTAAATAGAATCCGAAACTATTTATTCACTATTAAGCGTATACCAGGTGACATATTATTAATTCTTACTAATATTATAAATGCGAAAATCTAAAGGGAAGGTTGGATGGATCGATGGATGTTTGTTTGAAGGTATCTCCGGAACGGCACAACGGATCTTAATGGATTTGGCACAGATGTAAAACATAGTTTGGAAGATTATTAAGAAGTAAATTATTCGTTTTTTATTATAATATTTTATTTTATATCATAGATTTAAGACTATTCATTAGATTCTTATTTAGTTTATTGTTAAAAATTGCTTTAGTTTGGAAGAACACATAGGTTACTTATTACACTTTTTATAATTCCGCGCGGACAGAGTCGTCGGCGACTAGTAGGCTATATTTATTACTAGTATTTTTTTAATTTCGTAAGGAAGAATTCACGGGCAACTGTTATAAGTGGATTTATTAGAAAATTCGTTTAAACTATTTATTAAATTGAGTAATACGTTAACATAAGACGGTCTATTACCAGGCCATAGATAGTAGAAGAGTGTTAAATGTCATTGTACTCCATAGACAATATTTATGTCTAGTGTCCTTTGATAACCTCAGCCTACGACAGAAATGGAAAGTAGGGTTGTCAATTTTCATTAATTTATACGGAAGTAATTTCTTGTTCTTATCCAAAGATTCTACTATCGCCTTATTGGACATTTTTCTGGTAAAAATAACTCAATTAACTAGTACAGGTTGGTTGTTTTCACTCATCTCTCTCGCTGTCTGCATAGCTTATATCCTCAAAGTGGTGGTTCGGCATTACTAATCAGTCTCCTTCACTTCGCTTTGTCCTTGACATCTTCACCTGACACTCACTCCTGACTTTTACAACTACATCCATCTATTTTTTGGTCTGCCTTTACAAATATATATATGAATATGTTCGCAGTTATGTATGTAGAACTAGAATTAGTGTCAAACTAGAAAGTGACAACCCTAGGTAAAAGCCATGCATAGCGTAGGTAGCGAATGTAATATCTATTATTATAAGGAATAAATTATTACCAATGTTATAAGAAATGAATATTGACACTTAAAATGTTCAATAAGTTAAGAATAAAACGTTTAGAAATAATAACGATAGGAATAAAAAATCTTTGATGATAAGATATGGTTGTATGTACTACTCCTCCATACATCTCTATCAGCCGTCATATCCGAGTCTATCCCCTTCTTACGCATATCCTCTTTCACACAGTCATTCCATACTTTTTTTGGTCTTCCTCTACCCTTGTAGCCATCCACATTCAATCTCAATACTTTTTTGCTTATATCATCATCATCCCTCGTCATAACATGTCCAAACCACGCTAATCTTTTACTCCTCAATTTCTCGATCACTGGCGCTACTTTCAAACTTCCTCTAATATACACATTTTTAACTTTATATGGTTGAATTTCTACTATTAGTACTAAAGATATATACAAAATAACTTTATTATCTAATACGCATCATCATCATCATCATCAGCTCACTATACGTCCCCACTGAGGGGCTCGCAGTCTACCCTAAGTTAAGGGTGATTAGACCATCAACCACGCTGGCCAAGTGCGGGTTGATTGACTTCACTGATAATACGCATAATATGAATAAATAAATAAAAAAGACATTAATTACTTTAATGTTTTATAGAATAAGATGCAAATCAATTTATCTGAGTCCTTGCATCACAACGAATGGAGGGAAATTAATTCAAGAACATGAACCTTTATCCGCCATTTTTAGACGTCATTATGATTTTTTAAAATTATGTCGTAAGCGTAGCAGATTTAAATCCTGTAATAAAATTGTTATTCTGATAAATTCATGACTATCAAGAAATAATATCAATTAAATCACATCTCAATATGAAAAAAAACTACGTGACGAAATTTAGACTTTACTGTGCCAAATGAAAATCTGTAATCATGGCCAACTTGTTAGTAACAAGGGTGTTTTGAAAATTGTCGTAGTAATCTAACCAATTTTGTTACTAACAGAGGAAGTTAAAGATTCGGTGTAAATTAGTACATCCTTTTTAGGCGTGTGACGACTCGTCTGGGTTACACATGAGATAAAGTAAAATAACCGGAGACAAGAATTGTATTTAAAAGTTCTCTTAAAAGACGTTACATCAGATTGTTTTTTTTATATCATAAGGTGGCAAACGAGCGAGCGGCCACCTGAAATCGCTGAAATATCGAAGTGAACGTTGCCCATATACATACGCAATTGCATATGCGTTGCCTATCTTTAATCGACGGAGGAGATGATGCACAGAAAGAAAATACCTGTAATAATTTTGATATAATTCAAAAGGTTTAAATGTGAGATAAAAGAAGATGTTTTGAAAATTAAATTAGATATTTTTTTATTCATGCAACACTATAACGGTCATTGAACTCGTCTCGGCAGTGTTGGAATTCCACGTCGACTGGGAATAGATTTGGTGAAATCTAACCTCAAAATATACGAAATAAATATTCCAGATTTGAAGTATATTCGTTCCAAACCTAAGAGAAAATGTTATATACCAAAATATTAGTATAATATTGTTAACAATGGTGTTACTAGCATATTTTTCCGTGAAACTCTTTAATTCCGAATTTTTGGTAAAACACTTTTTCTTACTAAATAACAACTTGCCTTATTTGAAAGAATGTGTGAAATCAGACGTTCTTTTGTTTATTTAATTTCGGGATTAAATTGAAATTAATTTTGCGTTATTTATATAGAGAAAAAATACTTAGCAATTATTCCAGGCTAATTCTACAAACTAAATTTATTCCTACCAATTAATCAGTTTCATAAAAGAATTTAAATCAGCTGCAGCGACGGCAATTACCGTCTGTAGAAGTATATTTTAAGAATGTCCCTTTTAGCTGTAGTGCTGTGAATACTCGAGATGCTATAACAAATTTTCGCTTTATTTCTATTTAAAACCACAGACAAAATCTTGAAAATGTCTATGGTTGTTTTTAGTCGAGTATTTATATTCGTTATTTTATTTAAAAAAATATAGCATTTGCAACAAGAACTAAACATTCAAATACTGCGAGGTATTTTATTTAAAAATAAAAATAACGCTCCTAATCCTGTATCCTGGCAAAGATGAGAAGTGATATACTTCCATTTATAGTTGTCCTGGCACACCTCACTCGTCTTCTAACCCGTTTATCCACACATTTAGTTTTAAAGAAGATAATAAAATAATTAAATCTGTAGTAAAAAATAGTATAAATGTCTAGGTTTTATACTTCCCTTGGTCGAAGTATATTTGAAATCTCAATAAACCGATGTATACTATAGCTCTATTCCTAGAGCGTAATGTACGCAGTATCAATATCAGTGGCCGTAATTCACCGAGAACATTAATACGGACGTGGTTTCAGAAATTGATACATGAATTATGAAGTTGGCAGATGCGTCCCCGGTTCCCGCCTTATGTAACTAAAATGGCGGATTAAGTCCCTCTTTAAGAAGTAAACGTCAAAAGCGTTCGTTCAGTGCTTACACTTTTTTGAGAATTTTTAAATCTAAATGAATTGGAAAAATGGAACTAAATTTTTGGTCTTTTTTTCTTTTTGATTTCTTTGCATCGATTTTTAGAAAAACACTTTTTTGTTTTTAAAACAAATGTTTGTAGTTTTTTCTAGATCATTAACTGATGACGCCTTTGCTTACATTTACTCCAAATTAATCAGAGTTTAAAAAAGACAGTGTGTAAACTTTAAAAATAAAGTTTTTGTTTCCCGAATGGGCACAAACTTTTCAGTTAATCATGATTGACCATTGACATTTTAACTTTTCCAAATGACGTCATTTTGACAGTTGGCGGGAAAGTTAATTGAAAACATAAAGAGCTTTATTCTGTTCACATTTATTATTCAAATAGAAACTAAATGTATGCACTTTGAATGCACTCATCGCCGTTTGTAAAATGATTTTAGTTAGTCTGTTACGTCTAAAAATAAATGGACTCCGTCTGATGTTTGATTTCAGAACTGTTGTTGTTCTGTAACTTTATTGTAATTCAAAACGTTCATTGTGTTTTGCCGCGGTAGCGTTGCATTAATTAAAATTAAACTTGCGTATGTAATGTCAAAATTTAGGTAAAGTTTTACAAATTTATGGCAACATTTTTTTAAAACTAATAACATAACAGTTTCTTCAATAATTATCGTTATATTTTATATCGAAAAACATTACTTTATCTTAATGTAACTCGTTGGAAGCGTCGTCTATGTAGCCTTTGCTTTTTCTAAAAAAAATATATTTTAAATTCCTAAAGCGCCATCTATTGGTAAAAAGCTAGCATCTATTAGGTTTTAAAAATCTACGTTTTGATATGTGATAGACTTATAAACACTAAGTTAAAAACAACTTTTTGCGTTTAAAAATAACGCATACTCTGCGCACTTGTTAAGTCTAGGTTGCCAGTATATTTGTATGTTTTTTTATTTATTTCAATTTACCAAATTGCTACCATAGCGTGGGTGTAAAACGTTTAAAGATGGCGGTTTCGCCCACATTCCGACAGCATAATCGATGTTTAAGTTTTGTCAAAAGTAGTTCAAACTTAATTTGTATTGTTCTACCCACAATATTTTGTTGTATTTTACTGTTACCGTCCCACTCAGAGTTATAAGTAAATATTTAGTAAAGATTTCTCATACCCAATGGATTAAGCGATTATACTTCGACAGGCAATTAACCGTGATATTATGTGCGTATTTGATTTTCGCCATTTGTTAAGTCATAAGTTTAATTTTTATTTTAATATTTAAAGAAGCTACACGCACCAGTTACTCTTGTCTGTACCGTTTTAAAACGTAGAAGATATTTTTAGAATATACGCTTCAACGGATTGCATTATACGCACAACACCGTTGAAGTTCTTTGATCCTTTGGTTAAATATTTATATTATACTAGCGGACCCGACAGACGTTGTCCTGTCTACACGTCTTTAATTTGAATAAATTAATATGAAGTTAATATTTGATGAAAATTGTGAATCTAAACCATTCCCATATCCCCTTGAACACACACAAA